CCTCCGCGGGTCCGGGAACGCCGGAGGCGTCCCCTGCCCTCTGCCCTGACGCCATACTTGCCCGGGTTTGGAGACCACTGCCCACACTGCCCCAGCCTCCCCCAGACTGCCTCGGCCACCGCCCAGGCTGGCTAGATGGGTCTTACCTTCGGACTGGACCTCCAGGTGCACCGAGCACAGCACATCCAGCACGGGCTCCACGAGGATGGAGGGTGCCTCTCCCACAGTGTCCTGGGGGAAAAGGGCAGAGTGACAGGGACAGCCTTCACACAGTACTCCAGGCCATCCTCCCTCCCAACACCGATGGGGCTGGCCCAGCTCCTGCCAGGGCAGGAAGGGCAGACGTGGAAGTTAACACTGCCCTTCACTGCCAGCCAGGCCCACCACCCACCTGCGTGGCCCCAAGCGCCTGCAGAGCCAGCTGCTGGGCTCGCGGGGAGGCACACGGCAGCACAGCAACGAGGCCTTTGTAGACTTGGTTCTGGTACTTGGGATTGCCGCGGCCCAGAGATGCCAGCAGGACCTGCACGTCTTCTAGAGCCTCTGCTGAGCTGGAAGTGGCCAAGAACCCGGCGAGGGATCGCACCCCTGTGCAGAGAAAGAGACGCCAAGTCGCGTGCCTGGATGAGTCTGCAGGACACCCATCTCAGCTCTTTTACTGTCACCCCCTGGGAGAACCCAGCACCACATCTCAGTCAGATGGCTCAAAGAACACAGGAAAAAAGTTCTTTGTGCTTGTTGGGAGCCACACCACCAAGTGGAAAACCAGTCTGCAAAATTCTCAGCTGGAGTAGGTGGCCAAGGCCCTTCTGCGGGTGTTTACACAAGCAGAGAGCCTGGCACTGGGATGCCAACAGTGCTGCTAAGGATCCCTCTGCTGATCCTGCGGCTTTGTCTCTCTTGGAGGAAGCTGTGACGGCAGATAGTGTCCCATAGCCTCTGACAACATAATCTGAACTACAGAACAACTACCGGGGTTTTGCTTTCACTGCCCAGGAGAAAAAACAGGGAAAAAAAAGTTGTAATGGTCTTTCAGAAGATACAAGCTGCAAAACCCTCCCACCCTCAGAAGGGAAGCCTGGGAAAGTTTGCAGTAGGAGACCGCTGTGTGTAAGAATGGAAACTGTTTTGTGGTTTAACTGGAGCAGTTGCAACCAGCAGGACAGCAATATTGCATCAAAAGAAATGACTGTAAAGAAAGCGAGCTCATTAAAAACTGAGAGAGGGGATGAAATGCAACCGCTCAACAATAGTTGAGACTCTGAAGTCCTTCCAGCCAGAGGAACGCTGTGGCAATCTGCCACCCGGCAGGTGGAGGGAAGGGAGTGGCTCAGCACTGTGAGCAGCCCCCGAGGCCAGAGGTCAGGGAGAACATGCTCACCTGAATTAGGAAAAAGCATGGATGGACACGCCGCCTACCGTAGCTTTCACAAATGAGCTCCTTATACTTCCTGCCAGCGTCTGCGACGAGCTGCAGCAGCTTTACAGACTCCCTTTTGTCCTCTTCTTTCAGGTGGTTCAGCCCTAGTATTTCCAGGAGAATCAAGACACCTCCAATTTCCAGAAATTCAATAAGGTATCTGCGTCTGCAAGGATAGGGGGAACAAAGTCAAAAGCATTACCTGTGTTGGAGCCCATCTTCCTCTGTCAGCACACCATTGCCTCCTGCCTCGCTGCAGTGGATGCCCAGTACCCGGGCAGTGAACACGAGGAGGATCAGCCTGGAGCGCAGAGGCAGATGCCCACCAGCAGCGTGCTTTGCTGCCAGCAGGTCACCAGCTCCTGTTTTACCCTGTGCTCATTTCAGATATCGAACCACAGGCGCAGAAAGCTCCATCCCCGCACTCAGGCTCTCACCACACTCCTTCCACATCGTGCCAGTGGCCCGGAGGCTCTGGAGACATGGACAAGCAGTAGATTTGGTCTTGACAGCGTTCATTTGAAATTCCTACAGCAAGCCTTGCTGTGACCTGCCTTGCCTGAAATGCTTACACAGACCTCCCAAAAGACTGCCAAGGACTTCTTTTCTTTTCTTTATCTACTCACTCCCTCACCCTTTTGTGCCTTCCCCTTGGCACCTGTCACGCAGGGACATTCTATACTCACCCACTTGCAGCAGATAAGAAGATGCCAATGGACTTGAGCAGCTTGTTGAGGCATGTGCTGTACATGTAGCTGTTTGACAAGGCTAAGGAGACATTTACAGACCATTGTGGTGTCCCCAAGGCTGCCTTTGGCAATGTGGAGGCCTAAAGTGGGTACTCTCTCTGTGACGGAGCATGGACCTTCCTCTCACATGCGGGCAGAGGCAGCGCGCTCATCCCAACATGAGAAAAACCACTAATTCTAGCTCTAGAGACAGGTTACTTGACTTTCCCTTCAGTTCCATCTTTAGATAGCCAGTTGTTGGTTTTTTTAACGCTGCAGGATATGGATGTCTCCATACAGAAGCTTATTCTTTAAACAAATTTTCATAGAGAAATTTCCCATCCTCTCCACCCCACTACCACACGCCACCTCCAGCTGTGCAAGGAAACAGATACGTCATCCTGAGCCATGCCGTTAGGCGAGCCAGAAACAAGCTGGCTCCCTGAGAGAACTCCAGCTCTAGCTCTGGTTCTGTCTTGCCGTTATTGCTTTTAATGAAGTTGTCAAGGACGCGGCTTCGAGCAACTTTGTGAGCACTGTCCCATTCCTGCAAGAAAACCATGAGCTTCCGGATGGCTTCCTGCTCTTTGACAGAAGTCATGATCTCTTCTGCCTAGACAAAAGTGAGGAAGAAGTTAAAAAAGGGCTTTGAAGATAGAAAAAGTCTGTGCTAAGGAATTACCACCAGAATCACGTTTAAAATCTCTGGCAAATAATATTAAAGCACTTACTAGCCATTAATTTAATCTGATTTTCCTTTATACTCATTTAATCGATAGGAAAACTGAGGCAAAAGGAGAGTTCCTGGTATGTCTGAAGCTGCTCAATGAATCCGCAACAGACTTGAGATTATTTACCAGGACAGGTGACTTCACCACAGGGACTCTCTTCTCTGCTCCATTAATAAAATCATTTTGATGTTACCCATTACCCCAGCCTTGGTTTCTTGCTAGCCTCATGATATGAACACTGCATCTCATATCTGACCTGCCAGAGAATAAATAGGGTGAAATGAGAGCACAAATAGGTATGGATTTATGGGGAGTGACAGGGTCAAGGGGGCTGTAAATGCCTGTTAGCGCAGCGTGCCCTCACTCACGTGATGGAGCAACAGTCATTTGGACTGGGCCCCCACCCGTTCCAGGAAGATGTGCTTGGCCTTGGCAGTGGGAGAGTGCTTTGGACCCCTTGGCATGACAGATATTTTGCTGTTTTTTTTTTATACCTAGTTTCTATGGCATGCTTTTAAACAATCTAAGAAAACCTGAAATGATAAGAACTGTAGGCAAGAAGACAGAAGGTCCAGAAACATCCCTTGCCTGCATTTCCTTCCATCCCTTCACACAGGTGTTAAATAAAGCAATCCATATTTTGCCCAATTTCTCTGGCACACTTTTGGCTCAGTATGATATCCCCTATTCCAGCTTGACAAATGTGAAGGCACATTTAGTAGGGGGATGAAATGTCAGAGAATTAAGCTCTCCATTCTTTCAGGTAGGTGAGAATTTCACCGATGTGTATGCATTTGGCTTTAAGACACCGACCAATCTCAAGGACCCTTGCAGTTAAACGTCAGCATCTGTGTACACACACAGATGCAGAAAGAGGAACAAGGGCACAGGCAGCTGCATTAACACAGGTGCGTTCTCCCCCACCAAGCTGTATCAACATGCCTCAGGATAAGAAAGGAATTCACATCTTGTCCAATACAGTTCTTGGACTTTCTACATAAGAAAAGCACCATTTTAGGTTTTATTTAAAGTGTGGATTAAGAGAAAAAAAGTTAAAGTGACAAAAAATCTTTGGGTTTAAGAAGTTTCTTTCAATGTAATACAAGTCACCAAGGTTACCAATTTCCTATCTACAAAGTTCTTAAGCCTTTTCTTCTAGAATCTGGAGCAACATTCCAAATCAGTTCTAGAATATCCCCAAGATACCTGATCAAAAGTAACTTTCTGTTGCTATTATCTGAACCAGACGACTGAACCCAATGACCAAGAGGCAAACATGTACCTCAGTTCCTGAAAACAAACAAAGTCTTCAAAAAGCTGGCTAAGAAACAACGTTTGAGAATTAACATGAGATGAAAATTCATTTGGGAATTAACAGTCTGTGCTCTGTAAGGAGTCTGTGTCCTTGGCAGGGCGTTTTCAGGATCTCCTTTGCAGGGAAGCAGGTTTAAAATAAATCCATTTTCCCAAAATAGTTGTGATTGAAAATGTTATTAGCCATAACAAATGTTAGTGCTGACAGGAGAATGGCCTGTTAGGGGCCTCTGGTGAAACAGTCAAGTGAAAGTCATATTTCACATTATTGCGAACATTTTCCTGTGATTTACAGAATATTTGTGAAACATTACTTGCAAGGCATATGATTGATATTGAGAGAACAGCTAGTGTGTAGGGGGAATCTGTATTTCACAGAGACTGTTTGCATGAAATTTACAGTCCCATAAAGTGCTCCTCTGTCCTCAACAGAGATCTAGTTAAAAGAACTTTACAGTCTGAAACATCCCAAAATTGATTCTAAATTAACGTTTCCATATTTATGTGTGAGATGCTGGTGGTGTAATGCTATCCTATTTTTATTATAAAACTGCAGTACCCCCCCCACTATTCAGAAATACCTGCACCAGCCACTGGATGGGATGATTTTAGTGATACAAAGGGCTTGCCTATGAATCAATGGCAAAAAAAAAAAAAAAAAGGAGTTAGAAACAATGATCACATGAGGCTTCTGAGGATACAGTGGTATCTGTCCCTGGCTGCTATAATAACAGCATCTGCTGACATAGTAGTCTTTAAGCCAACATTGCAAAGTACCCTGAAAATGTACATGATTATTTTTATTATGACCATTTTACATATGGGAACATACAGTCACAGGGAAGTTAAATGACTTCCCTGAGTCATTTGTCAGTGCTAACAGCACATAACTCCTATTTGTTGGCTTCAAACTCTGCTCTCAACAGTGCTGGGCTGCCACCCCAGTCCATTGGACCTAATAATCAAAACAAGGCTGGGTCAGGGCAGTGCTTTATTCCGGCCAAGAAAAACCCAAGTGATTTAGGAACTGGTTCTGGCAATTCAGCAGTTCTTTACATCCAGAGTGCTGCTAAATCATCAGATTGAGATCCAAAGGCAGACTAGTGCTGCATCAGCCTCAGTCCAAGTGTGAGGTGCCAGGGACTGATAGCCTTGGACTCGTGGAAGGACAGAGTGACAGTGATTTGGTGTTACCTTTGCATCTTGCAACATCAGCAAAACTGAGAGCTTCTGTTTCTCCAGCAGGTTTGACCCTCTCCTGGCATACCTCAAGTCCCTCACAACCCTCCTCACACACAATGCACCTTCCTCAGTGTACCCCAATGCCTTCT